CTCTCACATTTATGTTCGTCAATGTTTCTAAGTACAGGGAGTTTTTGCTTTACTATAAACAGAAATTACCCACTTGACCACTATACATCCATTCTACAACTCTCTTTACGGATTCTGGTCGAAACCCTCGAACATCTATGCGTAATGGTATATCGCGTATTTCTAGCAGCTGAAAGAAAATTTTGTTTAAGAATCACTGCTCAAAAGCTTAATGCCTTGGGAATATGTGAACATGATATTGTTTTTATTCACAGATGGAGAATTGGTCTGCTCGTGATAGCACTCCTATGAGCTAATCATTGTGTGCAAATTTGAGGCCGTTCTATTCTTTACCTTCTTCTTTCGAGTATCAACATTATCAGCATTTCCTTCATTATTCGTAAGAATTTCCTGTTTTGGCTGTTCGCTGATAGCGGGAGCAGCAGAATTTCATAGGTAATAGGGTGGTGGAAAAGCGAGAGGAGCTATGTGAGTTTTGGAATAAGAAAGCGTTGATTTTTGGGCAACTATGGTCTGGGAAGATTAGGTGAGAATTTAGCTTATATTCGAGTAGATTGAAAGTTGTTAGATGATCTTCTTTCTTTTGATCTGTATGATATTTGTGCTAAAGTGCACCAAACCTTTGCAATTTTAGTACAATGAGCAGCCGCTATAGCTGAATGCACATTTTCGCAACCGCTATCCGTAACAAGCTCAATGTCGCATTGTCTGTAAGAAACGATATATCAAACTATAATATCGGAATTAGAACTTCGGCCCAACAGGACACCAACTCGCCTAAAATCACCGTTATCTCTTAATTGTTTTAGGTAATAAGCTGGTCTTTTGAAATGTGATGGAGAGTTTTCTGGTTTGAATACGATTTTGGATCTGTAATTATCCTTTCCTTTTGACTCAGTACTTTGAAGCAGTATTTCGTCAAACCTTGGTGCGCTCCGCCTACGACGTAGTTCTCGCTGCATTGGAAAGCGACGGACGAGCTTGGAGCTTATTAAGTGAAAAATGGAACATACCCTATTTTTTATTGCCAAATAATAAAAATTGGTGATTAAAAGAGCATGATAAGCGTCACGGCAAAACAAGGTGCTTCTTATTTTGTAAAACCTCTGTTCGAGTCATTTTCAACCTATGCGCCTACTGGGAACTTATTGCTCAGATAATCATACTGCGAAACCCTAACCAAGTCTCAAAGGCAGGGGCAAAACCTAGGGTGGTAGTAATTTGACAATGAAACTACGAGTTGACTGTTAGTTAACTGTGAGTCAATTCGCAGTT